TAAACCCATGTCTTTTTCTCTCGAGTCCATAGGAGAAAATCAGGGTTCCCATCCGTGGAAGACCTTGCCCACTACCAACACTTGGCAATGTCTGGAGACAGTTCTTGTCGCCTCGATGAGAAGCGGTCCTGCATCAAGTGGCTGGGACCCAAAGGAGCTGCCAGACACCTACCGCGCTCAGGAAGCCCCCACAACAAAGGGTTACACCCAAAAATGTCAACAGTGTCCAGGTAGAGAAAATACCCACCATTCCTACAAATCTCCTCACCCTCTCTCTGGGCAATGCCCCTGACTCCAGGGCACCGGAGCAAGGCTGCCTTAGTGGACCCAAAGTTCTTCCCGAGGGTCCCTGCAGAATGGCCCAAGGGGCCTCCCTTGCAGTTTTCCCCAGATCTCTTATTTGCCCAGAGGAATTTCTTTACACCCAACCATCCAGCTACTGCACTCTATGAGCCCTGCAAGATCCCGGCTGGCACAGAGCGGTAGTGGAGGGATGCAGGTCCCGCAGTGAGCACCACCAGCCCAGGTGCCGGGCATGCAATATTTCAGTTAGCAGGCACCAGGCTGCAGCTCAGCCACACGCTGCTGTCCTGTCCCTGCATTCCCAGTCCAGGAGGCTTCAGGCAAAGGTGGTGGAACTGCCTCCCCTGGGAGCCGCCTCTCCCTCTGCTCCCTGCTCTGGGAAGCTGTTAACCCTTCCTCGCTCATGGAGCAGTCAGGCTCACAGAGCAGGGGTGGAGTAAGGGGTGGAAAGGACCCAAGATCAGGCTGCTGCCATCTGAACCGTCCCTGAACCCCTCCCTGTGACAAGCCCATTACCTGCATGGGAACTGATGTTTGAGAACTGGTGCTTGTTGATTGAATGAATGACCAGAAGGGTAAGCCTTAAGAGATTCATTCATTCATTCAAAAATATACACTGAGTATCTCACCGTGCCTGGCACTGTCCTAGATGCAGAGTGACCAAAAGAAGCCAAATTCCTGTTCTCATGAAGCTTACCTTCTAGTGGAGGAGGCAGATGCCACACAAACAGATCAATATGGACTATCATTCGGGGCAGTCGTGAGGGCTGGGAGCAAAGTATGGCAAGGAGGTTGAGATTGACATTCTGAGGGTGACTGTTTACACTGGGTTCTTAGAAGGGCTTCTCTATGGACATGTGGCTTGAACAGAGATCTGAAGGTCATAAGGGAGAGGTCTTCCACCATGCTGCCAATAGTGAGTGCAAAGGCCCTGAGGTAGGGATGTTCTCAGGGAACTGGAGAGACAGTAAAATGAACAGGTGTAGTGAAGGGTGGGCCTGGCATCACCTCTGAGCAGTCTCTCAAACATGAGCAGACATCTGAATCTCCAGGATGGCTCATGAAAACAGAGCTGGTTGACAGCAGGACCTGAGAAGCTGCATTTCTAACAACTCCCTGCTGAAGATGATACAGTGCTCTGGGGTCATAGTGCAGGGTATTTGTCCTTCCTGGACCAAGTCCTGTCTGGGTCAGCACTGACTATACACAGTCAGACAGGCCTGCCTTGATTGCCTCCCCACTGGGCTACATGGTTCCATAGCTTAGTGCTTAGTAAGCACTCAATAAAATATTAATTGAATGAATTCTGCAAAGGATTCCATGCCAGGCCCCGCCCCACTTGCTTCTGCCATTCTGCTCTGTTTTGCTCCATGCAGAGCTCAGCTGACCAGACCCACCTCTTGCCAGTCCCCCTTCATCCTAAGCAAAGAACAGCACCTGCCACCTCCAGATCTGTGATCGCTCCGCCCCAACGTCCTGGAATGTCCTGCCTGTCTCCCTGTGTCTGTCTCATTAATTCCTGCCCATTCCTCAGATGCTCCACCCACAGCCTCCTTCCCGGCTCCCTGCCCACTCGGCCCAGGTACAGCCCTCCTCAAGGTGCAGGGACCCTACACCCACTCAGGTCCCAGGGACTGATCCTTCCTTTCTCAGGCAGAGGTCCAGATGGGTGGCCCCAGCTTGAGCCAGTCAGCGGAGGTCTCTAGTGCAGCTGCTGTGTTTTAAGTTTAAATTCATCACCAGGCATATAGGCGCACACTGTAATCTCAGCACTTGGGAGGCTGAGGCAAGAGAATCGTCATGAGTTCAAGTGGGCTACATAGTGAGTTCAAGTCCACCCTGAACTGCACAGTGAGACCTTGTCTCAAAAACACACACAAAAAAACAAAAACTTAAGTTCACTGCCAACACTTTTAACCCAGGGGATTTCATATCACCATTCAGCTTCCTGATTCCTCTAAAAAAGTGAGGGGCCATCTGGGTGTGGGGGACCACACCTGTAATCCCAGCACTCTGGGAGGCTGGAGCAGGAGGATCCCAAGTTTGACCACAGCCTGAACAATTTAGTGTCTCAGTAAGACTGTCTCAAAATATTAATTAATTAATTAGTTAATTTTTTAAAAAGGGCTAGGGGTGTATTCAGTGTGAAGGCCCTGGGTTCAATCCCAGGGATTTTTGAGAAAAAAAAAGCCAGGGACCTGCACCCCAGGGCCCACTTCAGTCTCCAGGTGGCCCAGACAGGCCAGAGTAAGATCTGGACCTTGTCATCTTGCTTTGGTGACTTCAGCAACCTGGCCTTTAAAAAAGCTTATTACTGAAACCAGAAGGGAAAATACATTGGTCCCAAGAGTGAGGAGATCCAGGGTTGGTTCTGGTTTTGGTGGACTCGTGTGACCTTGGGGGATCCTGGCCCTCCATGTCCTTGTATTCTCAATTAAAGTAATGATAGTTTCACTTCCCAGTCCTGCCATCGAGCCAGAGAGGCTGTGAAAAGCTTCACACGTGCTTGGCATATAATGCTCCATCGGTGTGAGTCAATAATGCAAGGAACTCGTAAATATTTGCTCTCCAGGATGAGAGGAAGGTGCGGGAGGTGTCAGAGGCCCCATGGGTCCCTGGGGAGCTGGGAGTTGAGATACTCCCTGTGTTCAAGTCCTAGCTCCACCACCACCTCAGGGATTTGACTTAGCCTCTTTCAGGCCTCAGTTTCCCCACCTATCCTGTGGAGATGATCCAATCCTCATGGAGTTTCTCTATCGAATATGCTCATGGCTTTTGGGTGAATTAATCCTCAGCCACCCTTAGAAGGCCAGCATGCAATGTGTACATGCCGGAGCTGTCAGAGGCAGTGGACAGGATGTGATCAGGAGCCTTCCCAGCTCCAAAACTCTTGGCAATCTTAAGCCACAAGACTCTCAGGCACAAAGCTGCAGCTGTCATCAAGAATGTATGGAAAGATTTAGCTCAGTGGTAAAGCAAGCCCCTCAGTTCAAATCCTCAGTACAGTGCCGCCCCCCCAAAGTATAATGTATAGAGGCCCCAGGGCCTCAGCTCCATGGACCCCTCCCCAGTGTGGCTCACCCAAGGGCCGCTCTCAGGAGTCACCAGGTCACACACCAAACAGGCAACCCTGCAGGAGGGCTGGCAAAAGGGAAAGAGACCAGGCAGCGACTTTCTGCTCAACAGGCCTGGGTCCCTGAGATGACCAGCACGATGTCTCCAAGAAAAGCAGGTAGATGCAACGCAGAGGAGGTGGCTCTTCACCTTCGTTATTGATACCAGGAGTGAAGCTCCCAGAAAGAATGTTCCAGCTTGCATTGTGTTACTCTCCATTTAGCGCTAAAACCTTTACAGTTATTTTTAGAGTGTGTGTGTGTGTGTGTGTGTGTGTGTGTGTGTCCACATGTGCCACTTGTACAAGGCTGGCAGCCACCTAACACATAGAGCAGTGAGAGAAGGCAAATTGTCGTGGGTATCTGAAGGACAGGGCACTCCTTGCTGAAGGCATCTTCACAGAGGAGCTGCTCTTCCCTTTCAGCAATTACCTGGCCATCAAAGTCCCAGGGCCCAGCAGGTATGGGAAGGGGTTGCATGCGGCCAGCCTCTGAAGGTGATGATGAACCGAATCTGACCCGGTAAGTCCCCTCCCACTCAGCATCGGGCAGTCACCTGGCTCACACCTCCATGTCCTGGGCGCTTACATTTCTCCTCTCTTTTGTCCTCACCGCCCCCACCCTGATGTGGGTTCCACCGCCCATCCGTAGGGGCCCAGCGGTGAGGTGACACCCACCCCGGGGTGTCAGAGATGGCAGCCATTCGTCCCTGACCTGATGCCAAAGCAAGAGACCTTCAGGGGAGGAAGTTGGCACTTTCAGAGCCTTCCTGCCTAGCTGGCAACGTCCTTGGCCCTTGCTTTCATGGTGTGTGATGCGAGCTGCAGTCTCCATTTCACAAGGGAGAGGAGCAGGTGGCTTCTGGTCCCCAAGTGCAGTGGCCCTCCTCGTCGGTTTACTTGTCCTTTCTGTTGACAGAAGTCACTTGAAATACTCGTTATGTACCCTGACACCGATCGCTTCTCTGTGGTGAAAATACAAACCCTTTCTTCCTGGCTTTTGAAACGTGCACTACACTGTCCTTATCCGGTCACCGCCCTGTGCAGCGCGCACAGAATTCACTCCCAGCTCTACATTCACACCCACTGATCTGAACCTCTCCCCACACTTCCCTCGCCCCACTTCAGATACAGCATAGCATGCTTGGGCTTGAAAAATGAGATTTCTCTTGGGGATGCAGGACGAGCGCTGGATTTGTTGATGCCCCTGACAGCCTCGCTCAATGGAACCTGGGAAGCAGGGAAACAACACTCTCCAGGTCCAAGCTTTTAGCAGGCCACGGCAGCTTCATCTACTGCGCAGGCGCCGCTCCACAGGACTCCAGCCTCGGCCTCCTCTTGGGAGAGTCCACTTCCGGAAGGACAAGGGAGTGCGGCGAATCCCCATTCTTCCCGAAGATGGTCCAAACCAGCCTCTGGCCAATCAGAAAACTTCCCTTCTCGCTCCCTCTGGCCACACAAGGATAGAACTTCTTTTCCCGAAATGCTCCGGAGGAGCGGGGGCGGGAGACGGCCGTGATTGACGATACCAACAGCCATTTATCGAGCGGTATAAAGTTGAAGAGCAGACACCGCTACGAATTGTCTTGAAAGAAGAGACTACTGATCCCGCCCCCTTCTTCTACTGGGACTCTGAGAGTCTTCGGGGGTGGGAGCTACTGACAGCAGCCAATCGAGGCCCAGCAAGGATAAGGAGGCGGGGCAGTGGCCGATGGTTGCCAGGCTAGCATATTTGGCTGGGTGCTTGGGACACTAAAGCAGTGGGTCTGTTTCTCCTAGACCCCACGGCCAGAGGGCTTGGGCTGAGGGGCTGGGCCGGGAGCGAGAACGGGAGCTGCGTCGCCCGCTTGCATATTTCCAGGCTGCTTCTAGGGCCTCGACCCTGTTCCATCTGGAGCCCTCCCTCTCCCCGCCTTCCCTAGCGCCCGACATTCAACCCCGGCCGAGACAGGAGGTCCAGGCTCGGGGTGGAATCGCATCCCCACCACAGCCGCAGGCCCTGGGGATCACCCTTCCCCACTTCACTGACCCAGGCCGGACAGAGCCGTGAAGTTCACCCACCAGCCCCTCTAGCAGTCGCTTCCCTCCCCTGTCGGTGTAGTGGTTGGTTACCATGGTGAAGCTGGCAGCCAAATGCATCCTGGCAGGTGAGTAAAACTTGTGCTTAAATACAGCGGTCTCCAGAGTCCAGAGCCTTCATAATTCATGAGGAGCTTTTGTTCAAGTAAACTCTCTTACCTTGTTTCCCTGTTTCTCTCTCAAACGCGGGTTGCTGCAATTACCGATGTAGTTTAATTCCATTGGGGGGAAGCAGCTATCTTCCAGAGCACATTGGAGCGCTGGCTGACCACCCCTACCCCCTGGCGCCGCCATACTCTGAGACCCCCCACCCCCACCCCCACCCAGTTTGAGCTGTATTGACGAGGAGCAGACTTGTTTAAAAATCAGGCGAAGCGAACCCCAGTAGCTGTGCCCCAAAATTAGGCATCGGTGACTTTGGTAGTCTTTATTCATGGGATTCTTTTCCTGGCCCCACTTTCTCTGATAAAAGGGACAGAAGAGAGTAATGGATAGGTGACATAGTTTGCAGAGCCACTCGTTTGCCGTCTTTAATGTCCAGTGTTACTGTGCAGTGCAGTCTTAGGAGGACATAAACATTGAGTCTCCCCAAAGTCAGCGGTCTTTGTTTTGTTGACTGGCATCCCAAGGACCCACTACAATGCCTGAAACATAGTAGGTACTCAGTAAATACTTACAGAAAGAACGAAGGTGTGGCATTCACATCTGGCGTGTTTTCTTTGTATCAGTCTCCACTTGTAAAAATGTGATTACTGAGATTAGACCTGTGACTGTAGAATGCAAATGTATTTTACTGAGTCCTTACTGCACACATGTGTTTCACTTAATCCTCTCACCACAGCACATGGGATAGGTTCTGCATTGTCCTGATCTTCCTGAGGCCCTGAGGTGGTGCCCAGGTCCACCCCAGTGAAGGTCATACACAAGATTTATAGGCCCAGGTCGGCCCAGCTCCAGAAGCCTTACCTGGTGTTACTGTTGAAACCTGTGACCTTTCCAGGCTTCCCTGACCAACTCAGAAAGGAACTGAGAAGAAATTATATGCAGAAAAATTCCTTTCTATTCTTCTCTTCCAGACTGAAAATAATTGATCGTTGCTTTTTCTGTTTGCTTGTGTTTTCAGTACTGAGAATTGAACCCAGGGTCTTCACACTGAGCTACATCCCTTTTTACATTTTGGGACAGCATCTCACTAAGTTGTCCATGCTGGGCTTGAACTTGCAGTCCTCCTGCTTCAGCCTCCCAGAGTTACAGGCACATGCCACCACACCTGGCTTGATGAGAGTGTTTTTAATGACTTTTCTAATTTGAAAATAAACAGGTCACACAGAATGATGCCTGACAGTAGTAACTCAGATCATGCTGGAGCAAAAGAAATTAATGGTACTCAGGAGACTCTAATTTCCAGAGCACCAGGGGCGGCAGTGTTGTGTAACAGAAATAATTCTGGCTGTTCCTCTTACTGGCTGTGTTATCTTGGACAGAGCTTTTCTTTGAGCTTCAGTTCCCTCATGGATGAGGTAGGAACATTTTCATTTTCTAAAGCTAGATTTCTTTTTAAAATAGGCTTCTGTCTCTGACTGTTCTTCCTCCTAGTTCTTTTTGAATTCAGCTCCCTGAGCACTTTCTGTGTGTCTGCCCTATGCTAGACCCTCAGCACTGCTGCCTTGAATGCTCACAGTATTGCTCTGGGGTTGGTTGGTATTGCTGTCATCCTGATTTACAGATGAGACAAATGAGGCCCAGAGGGGTAAGGACGCTTGCCCTTGGTCACACAGCCAGCAGCAGCAGTGCTGTGTGATCCAGAACCTGACCCAGACCCAGGTGATCTGATTTCCAGGGCTTTGTTCTTAGCACAGGCTGTGCTGTCTTCAAACCTTGGTGCTTGTGGCCCTTCTTCGCCCTTGCCCTCTCTGGCACTTCTTTCACCTGATTCCAGCATTCGCCTGAGTCAGTGGCTCTTGAACTCCAGCTCTGCACTCAGTCTGCAGCTTCCTGTCAAGGCCCGCAGGGCATCTCCTGGAACAGAGCCTGGCTCCTGGGTCCTTGCCCTTAACTACTGTGCTGCACTGCCTCTCTGTGCATGTGGGGGTGATAGTCATGCCTCCGTGGGTCACAGTGCCAGTGTCAGGTCTCCTGCCCCCAGCAGGGATCTGTGTAGTCTCCCAGACAAGACCAAGGAGGTAGTGCTCCCCTCTGAGGCTGCTAGGAAGGAACTAATTAAGCTTTTCCCAGACAGAGTGAGCAAGATTTGGACTTGGGTTGGAAGGAGGTGGCTGTGAGGGTGTGGGGTGTTCAGGGGTTGAAGAACAGTGGTGCAGAGGCCAGGTTTTGTATACGGAACAGAGTGGAAGGTGGGTCAGCGCTGACTGTGGAGAGAAGTGGTGGATGGTGTCAGGGCTGAAAGCGCTGTCCTGTGGAGGTCCACCCACCCCTGTGCTGCAGGGGTGGGGTAGCGCAAGGAGGACCAAAGGCCAGAGGGCCTCTGGAGCAGCGTTTTCAGTCAAGGCCTGGTTGAGTATATTCAGCATCGCAACGGGGCCTCTTTAACGATGCTTCTCAGGTGTGCAGGGCCAGAAAAGGCCAGAGGAAGCGCCAAGCAGAGAGCTGGGGCTATCAAAACCCTAGAGGACCCACTGAGGGGCGGTACCTGCTGGGTGCGGCACCCCAGGAGTTCCATCGTGGGCAGTGAGACCACCAAGTGCCACAGGTCACTAGGAGCACTTGGGGGGTCTATATTTTTGAGATCTGTCTTGGCCCCAGTACTGCACGATCAGGGTCCAGGTGAGAAACAGGAACTACATGAGGTAAGGGCTTCACTGTACACAGTGGACCTTAGATATTGAAGGGCTGTTTTAGGATTGAGAGGCTCAAGAAGGGAAACAGACAGGGACACTGAGGCAGTGACCGCAGGAAGGAGCATGGCCTCTGGGGCTAGGGACAGAGGGAGGTGGGTGTGGTCGTCAGAGCATAGAGGTTTGGCTTGAAGGAGGATCTGGGAGTTGAGTACGGATCCCACCGCACAGTGCCTGTGTGTGTATGGGGCGGGGGTGTATTGGTCAGCTTTTTGTTGCTGTAATGAATTTTCTGACATGTACAACTTAAAGGGTTAATTTGACTCACAGTTTCAGAGGTTTCAGTCCATGGTGGGCTGGCTCTGGTGCAGAACCATCGGGGCGGAAGGGCGTGGCAGAGGAAAACTGCTCGCCTCAGAGCAGCTGGGAAGCAGAGCTGGGAAAGAGCCAGAGAGGAGGGGGCTGGGAGCAGATAGAGTCCCCAAGGTGCCCCCATGACCTGCCCAGACACCCAGGAGTGTGCTTTACCAGTCCCCTAGGCGTCTCTCTGGACAGTCAGGTTGACAGTCATGTTTAACCGTCACAGGGGGCATGGTAGGATGTTTGCAGAGCCCTGGCCCAGTGCTGCAGAGCAGAGCATGGGAGGTAAGTTGGTGTGAGGCATGAGCTCAGGGCAGTGTCAGGCTGTACTGTGGGCAGGAGATACAGCAAAGGCCTCAGGGAATTAAAGAGAGGCGGGCTGGGTATAGGAGGAGGCGATGGTTGCATGTGGGGGCAGTGAGGACACATGGTGGGGGTGGAGGGAGCCGAAGAGTGAACGAGGAGGGCGACACCTCTCAGGGACAGGCATGGCATGACGTGGCTGTGGCTGCAGATGGGATAAAGGCCCGTCACCCCGTGGGAGCCTCCACGGGGAGGTGGAAAATCAGATGGCTCAGGAGGGAGAAGGAATGAAGGCAACTGAGGCAGAGTAGCCAGGAGCAGAGCACTGAGGACAGCCCCCAGGAGTGGCCACATATGGGGGGAGGCCACCAGGGTGGCTCAGAAGGAGGGGACTGGCTCAGGTGTCAGGGTGAGGGGTGAGAAGAAACCACTGGGTGTGATGGTTACAAGGTCACAGGTGGCCTTGCAGGGACCCTCTGTGTCCCCAGGCTCCACCCTTGCACCTAGGGCAGGAAGCCACCCAGGCTGGTGACCCGGCCGCCTCTTCTTCCTCGATGCTCCCTCTGACACTGATGTTCTCAGCTTGTGCTATTTGAATTTGCACTTGTCATCTTGTCTCTCTGCAAACATGTTTATCAGTTCTGTCGCCTTCCTGTGCTCAGATGCCTCCCCGGAGCCCACACAGGAAGTTTGCTGTAAGTGTTGGTGACTGACTGACAGGCGGGAGGAAGATTTATGAAATTAACCAGAACCAATCTGTGGGAAATTTCACAAGCAAGAAAACTGGATTCAAGAGCAGAGGTGGAGTCGGGAGGAGGGAAGCCATGTGCTCAGGGACAGGGGTCCTGAGCGACAGGTGGTCCCGGCTGTGGTGCCCAGATGTCCTGGAGGTGCACAGCAATGAAGGCCTTCAACGCACCAGGCGTGGTCCCTGAGCCCCAGACCAATGCAGAGAACGTGATATTGGAGTCCTGGGCCCGTTACCTGCTTCTCTGAGCCTCGGTCCCTTCGTGTGCAGCTGCGGTTGACTCCACTCCCCTCTGTAGGGAAGGCGGGGGCGGAGCGTGGGGAGGAATGAATGAGTGTGCCTGGGTTCACGGGGGAGTGCAGCACATGTCAGTTCCCTTCTAAGAAGTGGTGGCAGATAGCAAAGCAAGTCCTGAAGAGCGCACTCCAACCTGGAGGAGTTCACATCAGTGACATGCCACTCGGCGTCAAAGAATTGTCTCACAAGAGAAAAGTATAGGTGGGAAAAGTCAAAACTGGAAAATGAACAGAGTGGCAGACTGTCGAGAAGTCAAGCAGAGAAAAGTGTGGAAGTGGCTGTGAAACAGGGAGCGGAGGTGCGGAGGCCGTTCCCAGTGACACAAGCCAGCCGGGCACGGGGTGCAGGGTGATGTCACTGAGGATGGGGAGGCCAGAAAGCAGAACACAGCGCTCAGGGCCCAACGTAAGAGTGTCTGATGGGAAAGGTGCCACACGTGAGGACAGCTGACATCAAAGGACACCGGGCAGGGCCATGGGCGGGAAAGTGGGGAGGGCAGAGGGGAATTACAGGCCGCACAGAGCATTTCCGCCACTCTCAACAGCACGAGAGGGACCCAGGTTGACTGGCTCCTGACAGTCCAGTGGGAGACTCAGACCTGGAGTTCTGAGGTGCCAGTTTCTGAAGCTGCTGACTGCCAAGGACAGCTGGGGGGTGAGCCCAGCAGGTGGGAGGTGGAGTGGCCGGGGTCACCGTGCCGCAGTTAGTTTCCAGAGAGGCTTGGAAGTTGGACCCCAGTGTCACAGACAGGCGCCCAACGTGGTGTGAAAGATGTCCCTGGGGAGTGGATTTCAGGATGACAAATGTGGTATCTGACTTCTGTGTCCCGTAAACACGGACAAGCAGTAACAGGGTGGCAGCTCTACACCGGAGTCAGTTCAGCAGGTGGGGTCCCTCGCCTGAGTCACCCCACTGCTCATCTTTCCTGCCAAGGCTTCTGGTGAAGCCAGGCTTGGAAGTGACAGGGTTTCCCATGGACGTGTCTCACCAGAAGTGTTATTTCTATTGCCAAGGTTCCATCCAGGTTCCTCCTTAACCTCCCTTGCTTTCTTAGCCATGTAGCAGTGTGTTCTGCATCATGAGTTTTGCCTGGGGTCGCATGGGCCCACTGCCCTGCCTGTGGTTCTCGTGACAGCCAACGTTGTTTGCTTGGAAAACTCATGGAAGTTTTCAGTTTCTAGAGCAAGGAGGTCTGGTGAGGACTGAAATGGTGTCTGTCTTCTGCCCTGACCCCAGGAGACCCAGCCGTGGGCAAGACCGCCCTGGCGCAGATCTTCCGCAGCGACGGGGCCCACTTCCAGAAGAACTACACCCTGGTGAGCTGGGGGCCTGGGCTGGCCACGGCTCAGCGATGTGACCATTTACCCTGAGGGAGGGACTTTGCAGAATCCCTGGAAGGGGCCTGAGAGGCTGTGCGCATGGCCACGGAGAGATCAGTTTCCACCCACGGTGGTGAGGGTGACAGCAGCCCCAGCCAGTCCCTCCAGGGGCAGGGAAGTGGGGAGATGAGGGGGGCTCTGGCTTCTGCAGGCTGGGATTACCCCCAGGGAATTGGGGTCTCCTCACACCCCTATATCACCCCACGCTGGGGCCTCTGGTGCTCTCTGATGTTCTTCTGTTCCTCGGCAGACAGCGGGGGTGGATTTGGTCGTGAAGACAGTGCCAGTCCCTGACACAGGCGACAGTGTGGTGAGTGGCGTCCCCGACCCAGGTGCACCCAGCGCCACTGCAATGGGCCCAGGGCCTCTATCCTGGGAGGACACAGGTGGTGGGGAATCAAGGCCCAGACTTCTCTGTGCACGGAAGTTGGGAAACCCAGAAAACACCGGAGGGAGTCACTGACCGGGCAGGAGGGGACTGGGGTGTGGGCCTTGGTGAGGAACTTGTCGTCTAGTACCAGGGCTCCTAAGCCAGGTCCCTCTGTGGGAAACCCGGAGCTCATGAACTGGAATGGCAAGATGTTGTTTGTGTGTCCTTCCTTGGCAAGAGGGTTTGTAGCTCTTGCCAGATGCTTAAAGAGGCCATAAACAAAAAGAGAGAGAAGGGAAAAAGGAAAGAAATTTTAAGCACCCTGACACAGCAAGAAAGGCCAAGACCAGGACACAGGTAGCCAGCATTGAGGACAGATGATGTTGGGACAGTAGGTGCCAGGGGTCGAAGCCAGCCAGGCATTGTCCTGCTGAGAGGGGCTGAGGGGACCTGCAGAGAGGCTTCCAAGGGCAGCAGCAGTGGGGAGGGGCTCCCACCTGGGCTGGGAAGGCTGGGACAGGCTGGAAGGGGCATCTGGTGCCCTCGTCCGAAGCGTTCCTGAGCTCTCCCCATATGATGACAGACTGTCCTACTTTTAACGCCTTCCCAGGCCTACTCTCTGACCTCCTTTAAAAAGAATTGTTTTAAGATTTGAAAATCAATTTGGTTAACAAAGTGCAGAGTGACCTTTTGGAAACCAGAGCACTCATCAGCCTGTTCAGCATTCTGTTCTGCCAGGTGGGAAGTCAGCCTGTTCCTGGGATTTTTGCACTCGGGGTTGGGAGAGGTGAGACTGCACAAAGCGTGGTAGCTGGGGTGCAGCCTGGTGCTGCCTCGGGGACTCTGGACTTCCTTCTCGTGCCTGGGGAAAGACAGGGTGTAAGAAAGCGTGCATGCATATGGGTGCATATGTGTTGCCACTAAGCCAGGTTCACAGTGAGCCGAGAGTGGCAGCAGTTACTTTTGGCCAGCAGTCTCCCCGTGTGTACGCTTCCCTGGGACGCACTTTTCTGATTGCAGGAGCTCTTCATTTTTGACTCGGCTGGCAAGGAGCTGTTTTCTGAAATGCTGGATAAATTGGCAAGTACATTTGCTCTTTTTCCTAACTGCCTCCACCCCACCTCCTGCCATACTGCTAGCCCCTTACGATGCTCCCATAGAAATGCCACTGCACCGTGGCCAGCAAGAGAAGCTGCTGTGCCATGGCCATATGCTTTAAGGGTCCTGCCGCACAGCCTGGGGCCTGTGGGCACCAGCAAATAGCAGTGGCAAGTGCCCTTGACAGCCCCCACCCCTGCTCCTGGATGGCTGGGTCCCAAATGTCCCAGAAGCTGCGAGGCTGTGTCCTTGTAGCCCCCTCTGTGGGGCATCCATCCTTCACAGCTTCCCCTCCAGCGTGCTTTCAACACCTCTTCTCAGCCTCTCAGGACAGTAACCAGGGACCCCAAGATGAGGCTCACCTTCTGCCCTGACCCCCAACCCAGGGATGATTGTTCCTCTAGGATGCGCCCCTTCTGTTGTCCTAGGCTCCCCATGCCTGTGTCCATGGCCACCCAGCTCTCTCACTGGAACCCAGCGTGCTGTACCTTGCACGGTGACAAAATCTCCATAACCTGGATCCAGGAGCTCATCTGAAGGCCAGAGCTCTCCAGAGCCCTCCCCTCCCTTTCCAAGAACAGCCACGTTTTAATGGAAACTGTTCTCTGCCCTTTTTTGTTTTCTAAGAGAAGTCAAGCTAAGGATGGTAGCTTCATCCAGGGCTGGCTTCATGCAGCTACTCATGGTGCTTAGCAAGTACCCACAGCATGTGCGGCCTAGCGCTGGGTGCTGCCATCCTTGGCAAAAGGGAAGGTGTGCGTGGGCAAGGCAGGGCCACATGCTTTCCATCAAGCCTGTCCCTCCCACCTCCCACCAGCTGTCCTGACTCAGGCTTGCCTGCTCCAGCCTCAGCTTGATCCCTGGTGTTGTGCCCCCCGCCCCCAGGAAGGCCTGGACGAAGGAAGGTTTCTTAAATTCAGGCCACAACAAGGTATCTCCTGATGCCTGCAGGGGAGGTGAGTGTGTTTCTGGGGAGAGCGCATGAGTCAGCCTGGAGGAAGGCGTTGGGGTCGATGGTTCAGCCCACATTTCTGCACATTGGGCGTCTCCAGGAACCAGCATAGCCCACAGTTGGGGAGAGGGCCCTCCAGAGCTCATCCTGAGCTGGCCTTCCGAGGACACCTGGAGGAGAAAGGACTCTTCCCTGCACTCACCCCAGACATAAGCCAGAACCACCCCACATCCCCAGGGCAGGACAGCCTGGGACTCTGAGCAACCCCTGCAGCCTTTGAAAGTGAGCCCTGGCTCTTAATTGGGACAAAGAGCCCTGTCCAGCTGGTGTGGTGCATTAGGGCTGATGCTGACAGCGAAGGAGCAGCAAAGCCAGCCCCGACAGGAAGACCCATGCAGACACACTCCCGGGCACTGGCCAGGGAAAGGAAGAGGCACTTACGGCTCTCGTGGTGATGGGCCCTGGACAGCAGCAGTGAGAGAGGAATGAATTAGCAAAGCCAAGGGCTGGCAAGAGTGGAGCCCTAGGTAGAGAAAACCCTCAGGCCCACCCTGGCTCCACTGGCCCTAAAGCATGTGGACCTGGGTGGGCCAGGTGGCCTCCCTGAACTTGGTTTCTCCAGTACAAAGTAGGACTATCATAGACTGACCCCACAAAGTTGGGAAGTTTCACAGCAATGCACAGAATGCTGCAGCAGAGAGCCTGGCCCACATGTGAGCGCTGCACCCCCCTCCCCCTCCCCT